CGCTTGTAACCCCCAACCATTCATCCTTGGTGTTGCATTTATTGCGCTTGTTAAAGGCGTCTAAAAAGGGAAGCGCGAGCGAGAGAAACAAGTTAAAAAGTCATAAAATGATATTTATTTCATTCCGCTGCCGCGTAATGCGGCACTGCCAGCCATCAGCAGCCTCGCGGGTGGCATCATCGTCAGCCCCAGCACGATGATGAGGAATCAGTACACTGCGAGAAACAGCCAGCCCACTCTTCACCAGCTAAAGAAGTGGTCAAACTGATAGTGTGGAAAAATGATCCAACTCAAAGGTGATTGAAACTCATTTGATAGCCATGAGTATCGTTATTGATTCAGAGTATAGATACTAAGCCAACTTAATTTCCCGTAGCTTAATCCGTAAATTACATACATAAATTATAGCAAATTTATACCAAACAATTGTCAAGCTTGATTTGCAGGGATTCTCCCATCCACCAAGCGAACTATCAATCATACGGGTATACACTTATTTATTTCCGTGCATCCAGAGCACAAAGCTGAGCAGCTAGAGCGGCACCAGCTGACACCGAAGCTGGCCAAGAAGCAGTTCCGTAGATTTGCTTTTTATTTGAAATTTATATGCGAACTCGCCGCGTCCGTCTCCCGGGGAAAAGTGGGTGGAAAACGCACAAAAAAGGATCTGTGTGCTGGGAGGATGGGGTAACTGCCTTTTCACACAACTATTTGCCGCTTTTATGGAGTTGAAGCTTTGACTTCTTGGCTGCGCGCTGAGCCACTGGAAATGGAAATGCGCCAGCGTTGTGGCTTTTTAATGTTTTCTTGTTAAAGTTTATTGAAAAACTTTGGCCAGTCACGTTTGAGTAGTCAGCGGGCGCAGTAACTTGTATATAACTCTGAATACAAGCACACACTCAGCTGGACTCGGCTTATACCATATACCTATACTATATATGTATATAATATATTTGGAGGGTGCGTGGGGAAAACGATTTCAGCGATTCGTTTTCCCAACCAGAAATGAAACATCTGCAGGAGTGCACGCCCCGACGCCCATGAAAATGGGCCAAAAGTGATTTCTTCTGTTTAATAAAGAAAACGGAAACTTGTGCATATTACTTTATCTATTCTTCTGCCCGACAGGGGGCGTTCGAGTGCGCAGGGAGGGGCGTGGTCGTGTTTGCTCATAATTGAAATTTCGCGCTAAACAGGAAGTGGCTATTGCCAGCGCTTTTGTTGCGGCCAGTTCAAGTTGTTCGAGTCGTGTTGAATCAACTCGGTCTAAAAAGCTTTTCCGAGGGGTGGGGGGTGTGAGTGGCACATGGCCGAGTTGCGGGGAAAATGCAGTTCATAAACAACAGCAGGAGATGCGAAAATGCAATAATATTTATGAGAAACACTCTGCGACCGGGGATGGGTGCAGATCTGCTGGCGAGATGGGCGAGTGCAAAAGAAAATTAAGAGCGGAGAAAATGGGAAATGTTTGCGAAAAACATATAGAGCGAAGTGGTAGTGGAAGTGGGAGTACAAGTTCCAGCCCGGGAATTGTCATTGTCTTCGCAGCCAGAAACTACACATGTTCCTATCCCCGGACCACTCGCCTTTTGTGGCCCAAACAATGGAGCCTCAAGTTTACCACTCAATGGTGCTTCCAAGACCAAGTTTGCTCGATATTATGTCAACATATCGATCGGGCTGCACTTTTGTGACCCGCATTGTATGAATTCCAAGTTTTCAGCTTTTAATGAAAGCCCATTCTTAACTACTTGTCTAAAGCGGCTTTTAGTGAACTTTAAATATAAACCTAATCAGCTTTTAATGCTGCGCCTCAATGAAATTGCATAATCGCTGGCTTTTTTCATTTCTTGGTAGCTGAAGAAGTTTGGGCTGCAAAGGTGGGTAATATTGGATTCCTTATGTGCAAGTCTGGTTCTATCTTTAGTTGTGCTGCTGTAGTATTTTACCTGGCTGGACATTCTTTTTCGCTGGCATTCCATCTATCGTGGCGCGCTTTTCCCTTCCGGCACTCCCTGCATTTCCCGCCGCATCAATTTATTTTCCACTCTCGTGTCGCTGCCGTATGTCAAGCCAGTTTCCCCCGGTTTTTCCAGCATTTTCGACCCACACCCCATCCATTTCCACCGCACACACGTACTGTGCAGTGTGACATGTGCTTCCTCTGTTGTATTTTTGAGCTCCCTACCCTGCCGTTTTGTACTTTTTGTATTTTTTTACTCGTATTTGGTTGCACTGCTATTTTCCACATGTGAAATTGAACTTTGCATCTTGCTGCGACGCGTCGCAGCTACAGAGATACAAAATGCAACGAAATTTTCATTTGCCAGCGCCGATGTTGCACTTGACTTGTGGCGCTTCTGCCGCCTGTGCACCACCACCACCTCCCCCTCCCAATCCCCCAGCCACTGGAGCACTCCACATGGTGGGGCATCCATTCTGACCGCCTGGCAGCGCTTATGACGCTGTTTTGACACTGCGAACGCGCGCGTGTTTATAAATAAAATATTTATGGAAATATATATTTGTGAAATTTTTCCACGCTTCTTCGCTGGTTGTTTGCCGCACATGTGCTGCACCCTTCCGCTGCATCTGCATCTTCTGCTGCTGCTGCTGTTTTCCCTTTGAAGTCCATAAAAATTAACAAAAAATCAATTTACAACACAAACGATGCGCTGATGAGGCGAGTGAAGAGCGAGTAATGCATGGGTAAATACTCGTATGCGGCGTGGAGTGCCCTTGTGGATGTTTTCATGTTTTCATTGCAATCGAATGTGCGCTTAGTGACGCCGCCTGTGATCTAAACTGCCACGCCCACTGCCCTTGGGGTGGCTTTTCTTCCAGTGCACGCATATGAGCACTTTTGCGAGCGTGTTGATTGCCCATCAAAGCAAAGCCAAGGCCAGCGAAAAAGCAGCAGGAGCCCAGCCAGAGATTTGCATACAGAAAACACACAATAAGTCGCCCTAATGCCAAAGCGCTCAATGCTGCTGCACTTAAAGAATAATTGCTATGGAAGAAATATGGGGAAGTAAATGGAACTATTTCATACTTGATGCTATCAGCCAACCTAAATGGTGTTGCTTATAAATTAAAGGTTAATGGTAATCATGAACGATTAGTTAATTGGTATAAATCATTTATGAATTGTTATACAGTAAAGATCATTTGTATCAATATTTATTTAAGACTATATTGCAATGTGAGTAACCAAGACGAATTGAAGGCTCACGAGATCGGAATCCATTTTTTTCCGTGCAGTTGTCGCCGTAGCGTCAGCAGAAACATAAAAATAGCGACGATTATGATGAAAATATTCATGCGACAAACGGAAGCCATATCTCCTGGCTGGTTGGGTCTGGAGCTCGTTCCCCCAAAAAACACGCGATGTGCTGGGACTTGTTTATGTGCCAACGATACGCAGCACATTTGGATTCCACTTAAGGCGTCGCCACGCGTCGACTATGTGTGTGTTTTGGCCACAATACCAGATACACGCCGAAACTCCTTTTGGCCGGATCAATAGTCGCGGCACTTGAGGGCTGAAGCTCTGGGAAGGAGCCAGGCAAATGCCAGGATGAAACCGGAGTCGGACGAGGATTGGCGCTAATAAAGCGGCAAACGTAATTAAATTTAATGCCTGGGCTGCGCAGACGAGAGCCAAACGTCCATGACGCCCAAGTCGGAAAATGTCTAAATCCGAGTATAGAAATTCAATTTACTACAAAATCCCATGCATCGGTGGGCTCGACGCTCGGCGCTCGACGACAAATGGCGGCGAAATAGAAAATGCTGGAAAATGTGTCTCGATATCGGCAAATCCCGTCATAAATTTCAGGCGCCTGTGGCCAGGACCCAGCCCCAACCATCCAGTTCTGCGAAACAAGATCCTTTGAGGCAACAAAGGCAGGCGGCACGCAGACAAGGAACCCGAAAGGAAAATATGCTGATGTCGCTGCCGAATTATGATTTGTTTTTGTCGACTGGCCGGCGGGCCGGCGGGCCGAAAGGGGCATTGGGGAAATGGGATTTGCCCCAAGGTTACCAGCGACCAACTACTCGCAACAACAACCAGTTGAGAGTGTCGTAAAAAGCACAAGGCACCGCCGGCCTTCCATCACTGCCCTGCGCTATGGAATCCTCGAGCGGACCCCACACATCCTCGACCTCGCAAATTATAAAGTTGTTTGGCCAAAAGTGCTGACGCCTCTGGCTGGCAAGTTTTGTGTTCGCTCTGAAAAATGTGCCAAAAGCCAAGGCGAAGAACGCTGGTTCTTGGTGGAAAAAGTTCTACACGTTTTATCTAACGCACATTGATAAGGATTTTTGGCAGTCGTCGCATGATTTGCAAGTTTGCACAAAACGCTTCAGCAAGATGAACGTTTTGTGCAGACGTGAGCGAAAATGCGATGACCTCTTGGCATAGTTTGCTGCTTTCTATTCCCATCCTAGGATTTACATGCCGATGATCAAATCAGCGAGCTTATGGGATTGCGAACAGGTGTTGGCCAGCGCTTTTGGGTTGCATGAGGAAGGGGCATCTAAATCCAAGCTAAAACGTCTTAAATCAACAACTTTGGGCCAGTTCCGTCTGCACTCAGAAACTGAGAAATGCATTCCATGCTAGCATTACATTCTGCTGAACCGCTAATACCAAAACCACGCCCTAGCGCCATTCCTGACTTTTCATATTTACTGAAATTTCCGCACTGCTCACTTCGCTGCCCACCAAATATTCCCGCACTTTAAACAGTTTTCTATTGTCTGGCAAATCCTAATGACGAGTGCAGACCATAACGAGCAAGACTTCCCTTCAATAATTCGAGGGAAACCAGCAGCTCGTTACCGCTGCAAATAACTGAGTTTGCTGCTGACTTTCTTTTCGGTTTTCGGTTTTCGGTTTTCGCTTTTGGGTGCCCAGCGAATCCGAAACTCCTGCCAATCGTTAGCAGTTATTGTTATTGCGAGTAATACAGTTGCCGCTGGCTGGTTGTACTCACTGTTCTTTTGAAAATCCTGCGACTCCTCGTCCGCCGAAACCGATTTCAGTTGCTGCAGGCAAGTCAACAGGAGCAACGTGAAGCCGACAGCCCAAATCGTTTTCCCATTGTCCGTGCATCTCGTCCGTGATTTTCGATGTGTGTTGATGTTGCACTTGCAGTTGCTGTTGCCTTTGTTGCTTTCGCCGTTGCTGGCTTGTCTTGGCCAATGTGTCGTTTGCATGGCTGTTGTTTCGGCTTCCAGTGTACTTGTTGGCATTCCGCTTGTTGGCAATAAAAGCTGCATGGCTGTCATTTTGTCGTGCTTGCGGTGCGTTGTGCCAAACGCAAGAACGTCTCGTCATTTATGTGGCAAACTTCAATTTGACCAAAGTGTCAAAGAAACAAGCAGGAGTATACAAGTATGGCCAAGGAGTACAGAATGTTGCAGTTTGCAATTGCCAGTTCGGGTTCCTGCGTTTCTGACCTGGCGCCAATAAACACGCGTCTCCTTGTTATGGCCGCTCGGCTATTTCCGCTTCCGCCGTTGGCTTTAATGAAGCGCCAATGTACACTTGGCCCATAAAAAGAGCATTTCCGTCGAGCATTTACGAATGCATGTCCGTGTGAGTCAGATCAAGTCCGTAGCATCGCTTAATGTGCTTTTACATGTTCATTCGCCCTTTTATGGACATTCCTTTCCTTGTTTTGGTGGATTGCTGGCCGGGAATCCTGCAAATAGAAATCCAAACGTCAAAACATGAGTAAGTGCTGATTGTTTGTGAGGGAGGTACACAAGAAAAAATGTGCAACATACATTTAAAATGTTTAAAGAAAGGAAATAAATCAGAGGTATATTTTATAGATACTCCATATATTGTATGTTTATAGATGCTATACTATAGAGCAAATCGGAGAATTCTTATGCAGTTTTGATTCAAGTGTGGTAACAACTGGCTGGCAGAAATATGAAATGTGCTAATAAAAATGTTTATACGTCGGACAAACAAATTGGGCTCGTAAAGAGCTGGCCGAAAAGGGTAAGGCCAGAAGTGGAGTCAAGGAGTCCATGAGGCTGACTCACAAATGAGCGGGAGTTTTCGGAGGACTCGAGGGGAGTACACTCCTCGAAATTGGCTGTTTTATGTGGCCATCGCATCGATGAAGTGTGATTAATGGCGCGTTTCAATGTGAGATGCGTAATTAAGGCTGTAGATTTATGTGCTCGGTCGCAGCTGGGGCATGACCTTCCCACCCCCACATGCCGCGCCCCTCATCTGCTTAACCCCCGGCTTGTTGGCCATAAAATCGGGCCCTCGCCGAGTGCTGCTTTATCACCTAGCCAAATGTTGCCGCCGCGCCCTTTAATTGCGTGTTTTCGTGGAGCACGAGTGTCGACAATTAAACAACGCATCAAAATTGATAAGCCAAAATGTGCTCGAACTTGCTGTGCAACCCCGATGAAAGCCGCTCGTGCGTCACGGCTAGTTGGCCCTTAACCCTCAAACCTTAACCCACTGGTGTTGCATTAATGGAGTGCAGATCGCAGGACCTCTCACTCTCACCTTAACCCAGAAAATGCGCGCTCGCTTAATTATGCAACATTTTGTATCGGCAGCCATGCGACAAGTTTCTTCTTTTCTGAGTGCGTTTGTGTGTGTTGGGCTATTTTTAATGAGCATTTGTGGACCACACACGCACACGCACACTTGCGAAATTGATGTGTGCGCCACGGAGTGCATATAAATAATGTATATTCTTCGCGAAAAGTTCATAAATTTGTATGATGCCATTTGATTACAGGATAATAACCTGAAATCCTGCCAAGGAGGGTGCCTTTTTTAAGGGGCGGATATTCTCCGCCATAAATTCCCTTGCCTTTACACTGGAAAAAATGTATGAAATGCATTTGTTTCACTACTTGATACCCACTCTTTATACCCTTTGAATGTAAGCGGGCATTTTCTTCCGGTGTACCTGTACTTCCTTTCCTGTTACCTGCCCATAAATTAGCCGGGCGAGATCCGAGGCTATTGACAGTCAAACTTTGCTCATTAGTGAATTTCCGACAAGCAACGCATGTTGCTCCATCTGTCTGCCCCCAGGGATATAGCAACATAAAAATATCGTGTATATATAGCCCTTTTGGTGCGTGTATTTGGCATTAGGTTAGCATATTTTATTGCTGATTAATTAACTGGGCAAAGTGGGAAGGACGACTTCGGAGTTGCATTGTGACGTTTCGGCCTGAACTTTAATGACACCAAGTGGAAGATTTGCTAATTAAAAAAGTTTGCCAATGCGAACACAAGACAGCAGTGGGACAGGCTAATGAAAGGCATTTTCCCCGGACCAAAGGGAAAAGTTGAATTTCACTTGCAGGCGTTGTTGCTGCCAAGTATCGTATAACTATTGCCAACTACTGGCGCTTAAAGCCCAGTTAGTCCGGTTAGTCCCAGTTGGTAAGCATTTGCCGACAAAGACTTAGTTGTCCAATTTATAGGGAATTGTGTGTCGAAAATAGCACAGCTTGTCCCATCGAAGCCTCTGAGTAAGCTGGCTGATCTGATCTGCCGGCAACTCTGGCATTTTGCTATTTTGGTAGCTGCCAGCCGCAGGCAACATGCCACTTGCTTATTTGCCTATTGATTGGTTTTACTGGCCAGGTGCTGCTGCCACTCCAACGCCCACCTATCGGGCATCGGGCATCGGCATCTTGCAGATTTTGCAGAGCCTTGTCACATTACCACAGCCATTCCATCATCGTTAGGAGCGGCTACCACTTCTGCACCCACTCGGCGCAAACGGGAGTCCGGGAATCCGGGAACCCGTCATCAAGGCTCACAAATTTATGGGCAAATGCTCAACTTTGCCATAAATGTTCATCATAATGTGACACAATTTCCTCAAGATTTAACGCCGCATAAAACCTCCCAGAACATTCCCATATGGTAATGGTGGGGGCCAAGGAGGCGGCGTTGCGTGTGGGAATAGAAATGGAACTGGGATTGGGTTCGGGAATGGGTCTGGGACTGGCACTGGCAGTGGCAGTGGCAGTGGCAATGACAATCTGGGGGTGAGCGAACTCCCCCATGCATTGTGCAATCCACATGCTCAATAAAGCCAAAGACGCACAACTCTGGGCGTAAGCGGGCGATGGCAGCTGGCATAAATTCTGAAATAAAATAATGTGAAGTAAAGTAAAATATAAATTCAGCTGCAGTCAGTCAGTCAACGCATGCAGGCGACAGATAGACGCAGTGTGAATTCAACTGACACCTCCGCCACTTATCGGCCAGCTGGGAGCGGCTCCAAAAGGGGGCTTAAAGGGGCTGCTTCTCGAAGGGCGAATGTGGCGGCGTGTGATATATCATAAGCGTGCGTCTGACAAGCGTAAGTACCGCCGCTGTCACTGTCACAGGACCAACAGGACCAACAGGACGACAGGAGCAGCTGAGGAGCGGCGGCAGGAGCGCCAACTTCTTGGCGACGACGCGTGTTATTACACCATGCGGCATACTTTTAGCGCCACTCAAAGCACATTTCGCTGGCATTGTTGTGCTGCACTGCGAGCAATTTTGCGCTAAAATGTTTAGGCAGCAAGAATCATATTATTCGTCTACACTTGGCAGCAAATGTGGCATTTTAGGCACTACCCATCCAGTTCCCAGTGTATCTGTTTGTGTGTCTAAATAAAAGTTGAATTACGACAAAGGATGCCAGGCCAAAGGAGCCAACCTGCCCACTATGGCCTGATAATGCGCTTGCCGCTGACTTCCTCGTGACTTGGAGCGTGTGCTTGCGAGGCGTTCAACATGTCGTATGCGCAATTTGTGAAATATGCGAGAACAGAGCCTGCCAGCATGAGCAATAAGTTCTGCTGCTGCTTCTGTGCTCTGTGTGTAAGTAAGCAATTAGTTGCCTTTTCAGCTGAAGGAAAGGCAGAAAGGCAAATCGGGTGAGTGGCGGATAAGCAAACAGCAGCTCATTAATATCCTTTATGCGTTTATTACATCAGCAGGCGGCGTCTTATGAAAAAGCATAAATTAATGCAGAGCATCGTGCGCAAGAGCGGCAGAAAAAATAACAATTAGGTTGGCAAAAGGCAGTTGGTCGAATCAATCAGACAATTCAATATAATTGGCCTAATTTATTTGTCACGCTCCGCTCGGCTTTCCTCGTGCGTTTCGCTCTGAATATTCCAGATAATTGGCAAGACGATGTGCCACATTTTGTGTAATGAAAATTAAAAATTAATGCTCGAAAGGTGGGCGCATGCAAAAATGCTTTAATCAAATCCCCTTTGGTCCGGGTAAATATTAAATATGCTTTTGCCTCGCTTTTTTCCTGCTTTGCGTGCGGGCGTATGTTTCATTTTTTCCACTTGATTCTTGTTTAAATAAATATTTGCCGTCCAGGCACTGACCTTTTGGCCCCATTGCGTCCCCTGCATTGATTGAAGTTTTTCTTTTTCCTCTTCTTTTTTTTTACATATTTTTTATGTTTTCCCCATAGATGTTCGTTCGCACTCGGTGGATTCCAAGCTCATGTTTGGGCAGCCGGCCAAGGCAAACAAAGGAGCAAGCTCCATGTCGAAGGCTCCTTGCCTCACATTATGCTCCTCAAATAGGAATTTATTCATGTGTTTATAGTGGGCACTTCAATTTTTCATTCTTCCATTGAGAGATTACAGTCTTTGATTTTACTCGCTCCGAAACTTCCATTTTTCTTCGGCTTTCGGCTTTTAAGTTAAATGTGTAGCAAACTAGGAAATGGTTGTAGGTAAGCGCATTATAAATGTATTCCTATTTAAACAGAAACAAGTTCTATAAGTGATGTACGGTTTCGCAACTTGTACAGCTTCTGCACAGGCTGTTAAAATTCAATTTTCCAGGGCAAAACTGCTGATTTTTGATTAAAGCCTCAGAAAGTGAGTAGGCAAGATAGCAAGGCACAAAAGGTTTAAAAATCAAGGACAATGGGCTGCCGCAATTCACTTTATCTTTGTGCTCTGGCGCCTTGGGCCATTTTCCTGTGGAATCCGGAAATCACAAAGGGAAATTACATAAAAAACTACTCCATTTGACTAATTTAGTGCACGCACACGGCATGCGAGAAACTTTGTGGCCGGCATGGAATGGGATGGACTCAAAGTTCGCTCCTCCCTGGACGGCTGTCAGTCACAGGAAACCCAGTCCTGAAACTGCTGGCCAGGCCTGTGGACGCAGAGGAGCCAGCGATTCACCTCCTCACCTGTCCACATGACAGCTTTCTATAAATAAACCAAAATGGCTGCTGCTTTGGCTGCGGTTGCCACCAAATTTACCTTAAATTTGACAACATGCGCCAGGTTCACAGGTGGCGCTTCTGCGGCAGACTTTCATTTGGGGCATGCCCCCAAATTCTGCTCACATTCCAGCCCTTTTCCTCATCCGTCAATCATGTCGGCGATTCCTTATTTATTTACACACTCTTGGCTGGCTTTAATTTGCTGTTGGCATATTTTCCCAAAACTTTGCTTAATATTAATGCCAGCGCATTTGTTAGCGACAAAGTTTTCCATTTCTTCAATTTACAATAGCAGCTGTTGCAATTAAATTAAACGTCTTAAATTGCCAAATATATTTACACGTGCACCGCGCCGAGCCCGAAATTTGAATTTAAATTGAAGTTAGTTGGCCAGTTAGCCGCACAGCATTTCCCTTTGAACGCCTTCTAATCCTTCAATTAAT